ACTATTTAGGATAATTAAGAAATGCAGGTTAGTATTAGTCATCTATAACAATCAAACTTGTAGTCATGTTAGGTATGTTTTCAAGGTCAAACAGCGATATATTTTGGATAGATAGGTCATCTTCAAACACTTCAGAGGGCTACAGAATATGGCATTTAGGATGTTTTAATAACATAAGGCTTTTCATGACAGTGAGGAGTGTGCTGGTAACACCAACCTACTTCAGAGAAGATGATAGGCACTGAAGAACCTCCATATGGAGTTTGCTTTCAATGTGGCAAAGTTAGCCACTGGGCAAGAAACTTCCCTTGCCTCAACTGCTGACAATATGCTGTCCAAATTGGATAAGCAAGACACAAAGGAAATTGACTACTGAACTTTGCCAAGACAAGGCATGGCAGTCCTTCAAAATTCTTGCTTCACAGAAAAGTCTTTCAGATATTCTAGGCCTGTAGGCTAAAAATGGATGCCCATAGCAGACCTTGGGTGACTGTGCAGACAGCCAGGTTTCTTTTTCATTTCTAGTGTTGGAAGTTGTTTGCTCTGCACTTCTTGTTTACTCAGGTAATGTTTTATCCTTCTCAAGTCTCTGATGGGGGTGAAGACTAAATTAGTACAGTCTTATAGTTTTCCTTGTTACTAAATTCAGAAAATTTACATCTCCTCACAAAGGAGATGTAAAATTTATAAAGCCTGAAAGACATAAAAACTTAAGTTGTTTATCTAAGAACAGTTTTAAGGTCTAAAAAGATATTTTTAGGCTGGCAACTCAAATTATGATAGAAAGTGATTTAGGTACAAAACTTTGAACTTGCCAAGACAGGATAGATAATAGAGTACTTTCTCCAACATTGCCATAAAAATGGACTGGACATTGTGACTGTAATTTTTACCTGATAATTGCTCTTATTGCATATGTTTTTACTGTGTTAGAGTTAAAACCTTTCCTTTTTATTTAGACAAAAGGGGGAAATGTTGTGAAATCTTTTTGTACACTGTGAAGATGTGTCTCTGCCAAGGCACCTTCTGATTGATTTAATAAAGAGCTGAATAGCCAATAGGTAGGTAGGAGAGGATAGGCGGGACTTCTGGGCAGAGATAGAAACTCTGGGAAGAATTTGAGGCATGTGACATTCACCAGCCAGACACAGAGGAAGTCAGATGCACTGTACTGAGGAGAGGTAATGAGCCACATGGCAGGATGTAGATTAATACAAATAGGTTAATTTAATTTTTAAGAGCTAGTTGGGAACAAGCCTAAGCTAAGGCCAAGCTTTCATACTTAATAAGAATTCCCCATGTCATTATTTGGGAGCTGGTGATCCAAAGAAAATCTGACCACAGCCTTTAGGTGAAGCAGGAATCCAATCTTTAGCACATAGTCATCAACAGTCAACATTTAATGCCCTGATTTGAATGTCCTTCTTTTCTTGCCCCTCAGATTGGATTGTGCTTAACTTCTGCTGGAGAGGTCTAGGCCCATTTTCAGAGAACTAGTCCACTCCACAGTTTCTACCTCCACTCTCCCAATCAGGTAGTAGCACTCCTCCCTGCTGGCCAGAGCATCTGCCTAGACCATAGATGGGACCCTGCACTTCAAGTGCTGGGAGCTTCAGGGTGTGGTCCACTAGTAGGCCCTGCACTAAAGCAGTAAGTTCCTGGTGATTTCTCTTAAGGTGTGTGTGTGTGTGTGTGTGTGTGTGTGTGTGTGTGTGTGTGAATATATGAGCACAGAAGGAGATAGTGAAAGAATGGGTAAGACCTGGATCCTCACAGTGTGGCCAGCAGCACAGATACCGCCTAAGAACTTGTTAAACATACAGACAGTTGAGCTAAGGACTCAGAGTGTGCATCTCCACAGGTTCACAGGTAAGCCCTGTGCACATGGAAATGGGAAGCACAGACAGAACTCCCAGGATGCAAGGGGTTCTCAGCCACTGCCTAGAACCTCCAGGTGCCCACATACCCTGCTGTTCCACCCTGGCCCCAGGCTTAGGGATCTCTTCTGTGGGCTATCCTTGCCATGCTCATTAAGTATTGCTTAGCTGCAGAAGCTATCAGGCCAGCCAAAGCCTCTGTCTTGCTCCTACAAGCTCTAAGGAACATGGCCTCATAATGACATTTCTTCAGCTTCATGGCATCACAAAATTTTGTGTATTATTTGTACACTTGGTAACACTGAAGGCACAGCTTTCTGTCTGACACCGAATTTCAGGCCTGTCACGGATGCCCTAAAAATGCTTATTGCATAAGACAAAACAAGCTAAGCCTGGTGTAAGGGGTTTCCCTTTGTCCATTGCAGTTTAATTAGAATGAAAGAAAACCACTGCCGATTCAAAGCTTTGGGGAATATCTGTGAAGCCCCACAACCGAAGTGGAAAAAAACAGATCAAAGGGAAATTAGATGGCAATGTGTGTGTGTGTGTGTGTGTGTGTGTGTGTGTGTGTGTGATGTGGTGGCATTTTAATTAGAGGATATTCTGAGGAACTCCCAGGGAAATACTTGAGACATTAGAGTGTCCCTCCTCACATTTTCCCTCCAGCTGTCACAGGACCTGCTGAGAAGCCTTTGTGAAGGCAGCCCCGAGAAAGCCACAGCGGAGCACTTAGCGCTCCGATAATGTGCCGCTCTCTCCCTTCCTTGCCCGTAGGGGTGAAAGCCCACATTATGATTGGGATTTGCTGGTGAGAGGTTAGAGATGCTGAGGATAAACTTGCTGGGCTCCGTCCACGTGAACCTTCACATGGGAAAATTAACCTATTTATCCCCCTAAACAACAAGGCTAATAAAATTGAAAATTCATGGCCAGAATTATGCCTTAGCACACAAATATCTTACACTAAAAATAAGGAGTTGTTTCAGTTTAGGTTTTGTTTGTTGTTTGGCTGGTTTTGGTTTTTCTCTTTTGAGATGAGTTCTCACTACATAGCCCAGGTTGGTGATTTTCCTGCCTCCTGATTGCTGGGCCTAGAGACATGGCACTCCTGGCTAAAAGCCCAAGTATTTACAGACTTAAAAAGAAGATTTATTTAATGTGCATGTTCTTGCTTGCATGTGTTTCTGTGTACCATGCGTGTGCCCGGTGCCCCTAAAGAGGAAAGAGTGCACTGGATCTCTGGAATTAGGGATGACTGTGAACCATCATGTCAGAGCTGGGAACTCAAGTCCAGGCCTCTGTAAGATGAACAAGTGAGCTTTACTGCTGAGCCTTCTTTCTGGCCCTGGAATGTAGCTTTTAAAAATGGACTACACTTCACTTTGGGAAAGTCTCATCCTACTGCATTTTTTCTCATTTCACTGCAGGTTGATGAAGACCAGTCTGGATCTATGCATGGGAATATCTCACTTCAGTGACCCTTATTTAACAAGCCTAATCCACTAGATGGGTGCATTTAAGATGGTTTAAGAGTTTAACTTATTTAGTTAGTTTAGAGACAGAGTCTTACTATGTTAGGCTAGGCTGGCCTTGAAATCACAGAGATCCACCTGTCTCTGTCTCCTGGGTGTTGGGCTTAAAGGCGTACACCACCACACCTGGCTTACTTAACCAGATCTATGCTGTGTATTCTGTGAAAACCTCCAAGCCTGACTTGTCAAGGAAAAGTGACCAGCCTTGCCTGTGGTGGTCTACTGCAGTGTGTTCTCTGCTCTTCCTTCATGGCACACACACATAGGTGCCACTCAGAATGGAGATGGGACTTAATGAGAATCAGCGTTATAGCCCTGCCAGGCCAAGTTCCAAATACCAATCAAAATCAAAATCTGAGAAATCAGGAAAGAGTGAAATCTGTCCATCCATCCATCCATCCATCCATCCATCCATCCATCCATCCATCCATCCATCCATCTCTCTCTCATCTGTCTATTATCTATCTATCTATCTATTATCTATCTATCTATCTATCTATCTATCTATCTATCTATCTATCTATCTATCTATCTATCATCTATATCATTACCTATCATTTATCTATCTTATCTATTTATCTAGTATATATACATATATATAGTGTGTATATGTATACGTGTATGTATGTGTGTGTATATAGGTATATAGAGTGAGAGTATAAAGGAGGAAGAGGAGGGAGAGGGAGATGGAGGAAGGAAAGGAAATAGGGGAGAGAGAAATGCGGGGGTGGGGTGGGAGAATAAAAGAGGCTTTAGCTCCTGGCATTTTAAACACCCCTCCCTCTCCAAGCTGTAACATTGGACCCACCAAACCCAACTCCTTCCCATAGCCTCCTCCAGCCTCTGCTTTCTGTAGTTCCCTCCTCTGAGGAGAGCCATGCTATCCTCTTGTGACCCACATGCCTTACTTAGGCTTCCCAGTGCTTTGCAGGTTTACGTACTACAGCATGGGCAGAAGTGTCCCTCTTTGTAAAGGCTGGATAATATGCCATGACGTACACACACCATCTGCTTTCATCCGGTCTTCCATCAGTGGGCTGATACCTTCTGGCCACTATGAATATGGGCATACAGATCGTTATTTGAATCTGTTTTTATTCTATGGGTTCTATATTCAGAAGTGGAATTCTAAATTATACAATTATTGTCTGTAATTTTTTGAAGCAATTCTGGCTGAGGTTAAGGAACCTAACAGATGTTTGTTTACAGACATTTCATCGATCTTTCTCATTTGATTTGCGGTTTCCCTTTTTCTTGTTTCTTGCTCCCCGCACCCCCCAGCCAAGCAGGGTCTCGTGTAGTCTTGAATGGCTTTGAAACCATTATGAGGCAGGGGATGACTCTGAACTCATCTGCCTGCCTCCACTTCGTGGTGCTGGACTTAAAGGGATATGCCACTACACCCAGTAAGGTCTGCTTGTTTGTCTGACCAACAAGGTAGAGGTATCGAGGCCACCTGTAAATTCATCCAGCAAGTGCTGGGGTGAAAGATCAGGAAACGGGATTCTTCTTTGTATTTTATGTCACTAATTAAATAAAGAAAGGAATATCAATAAAACAGCATTTTGATCAAGAATCATACAATAGCTACCTTGACATTTTGACAGCTCCAAGTGCTCTCCTTCTGAGGCGAGCACAGACTTCCCTGGTAAAATTTGAATGTTGGTGAGAAAACTTCATTGTTCCTGGAGCTTGGCTTCCTTTTCCAGCATCACCCTCTGCCCTTCTGGAAAGAACTCAGACTGAGGGAGGGGCCTGTCTCCCTTTAAAGACACTGTTTCCATGGTAACTGGCCTTCATCGTCAGTGTAAATCAGGAAATTCTATTAAAGGACCAGCCAGGCAGTCAGCCGCTTCTGAAATGGGGTTAGATTTCAGCTGCCGGCTTCATCCACCCATGCCGCCCGCCCAGTAATCTTTTGCATCTGGCAGTTTTGCTCTTGTCCAATGTAGGAAGTTAAATAAGACAACGTGAAGGTGATTATACAGGTTCGGTCCTGCAGTGTGCTTCCTGTGTGACCGTGTGAGCTGCGCTCAGAGCTGGGCTGCTGGAGATGCACGGTGGGGTCAGCGGAAACAGGGGCAGCAGCCGGGTGGAGAGAGCAGAAACCAGCTGCTCGAGGAAGCGACTCCATTGGTGACGGATTTCATCCCGGCTGTGAGAACAACCGCATCTAAACACAAGCAAATGAAGCAAGTAACAGAATTACCTCACACCGAGGACCTACATTTTTCTGAAAGCATATTTTAAAGCTTCCCTGCCATTGGCAAGTGGGCAGAAGGTTTGGGCAGCTTTAGTGGAGCAATGTGATAAGAATGTATGAAATCAATATAATTTTCCAGTTCTTCAGATCCTCAAATAACACGTTTCAATTTCAGTTTAAATCATAGGGAATTTCTCAGAAGTTGAGGAAATTCAGCTGCCCTGTTCCTCTTAAGAGAAATATCACCTGATCATATTGCAAAAGAACCTTCTACTGGCTTCCCTCTTTCTGTGTAAGAGGCAATCACCAATCATCATCTTACCTTGGCTTTCCAACACAGTTCCTAGGTGAAATACCAATATTCAAAAACAGTTTTGAGATTGGGTGACTGAGACATTCTGGAGCTGGATGCTGGTGAGTTTCCATAATACCCCTGAACAATGCACTTCAAAATGCCATGAAGGGCAGGAGAGTTGGCTCAGCTATTAAGAGCACTGACTGCTCTTCCAGAGGAACCAGGTTTAATTCCCAGCACCAGTATGGCAACTGACAACCACCTACCTGTAACTTCAATTTCAAGGGATCTGACGCCCTCTTTGGCTTCTGCAGGAACCAAGTACACATGCATATACATACATGCAAAATGCCCTTACACATAAGATAATTATAAATAAATCTTACAAAATTAGAAAAACACATCAAAGCAGGTCAGTTGCATATTATACATATTTTACTGCAGTGGAAGAATACTCAGGATTTTCAGTGTAAAAATGCGAAAGTGTCTGCAGCTCTCACTGGTGGTCGGACTTAGGGTCAGGGTCTGAGTGGGTTATTTGCAGGTTCTAAGCCTCTCGTTGAAGGAATTGAAATAAGGACTCCCACAAACTGCAAGAGTAGCAATAATTTTTATTCAAAGCTAAGCAATGGTACAGATTAGCAAGGAATGTACTGTCAAGACAGACAGCAAGACATGTGGTGAGTGAGGGTAATCGAGGGCTGTGTTTATTGTTTAAAGTTCCTTTTATGCGGTTCAAGAGCAGGAGGAGTGTGGTAACTAATGGTGTGATTTGGGTAGGTTTCTATTTTGACTGACAAGTGTGGGTTATATAAGCCTTGCTCCCTGTGTGTGTCCCTCCCCATAATATACAACTTTCAATAATCTGTAAGCCTGCTTTTGCAGCCTTTCTAATCTCTGTCCCATCTGACCCTCAAATCCATCAATCCACCCAGGATGTCCTGCACAAATGAAGCTCTGGCTGGCCTTGAACTCACAGAGATTCATCTGCCTCTGCCTTAAAGGTGTGTGTCACCCACCCAACTGAATAACTATTTTTGAGTGCCTGCCTTTTGGGGGATACAGTGGAGAATAAATCAGACAAAATTTTCACATAGTTTGCAAGATAGTTACAAGGAGAGGCACAGGATTGGGGGAGAAGGGCACACATTTACTATAGAGGAGTTTCCTTTTAAGTTTTGAACCATTTCTCAAAAAGCTAAGCACAGAATTACCTAATGAGTGAGCAATTCCACTCCTAAGCACCCATATAAAGTAGCTGAAATATACATATTAGCCCTTCATTCAGGGTAGCTTCATTCACAACAACCAGGAGGTAGAAAAGGAAAAATGTAACCCATCTTTCAACAGGGTGGTACTAGAGAAGCAAGGAAGCAGCATGTGCAAGCAGATGGGAGAATCTGAAAACACTGTGCTAAGTGAAAGGAGCTAGACATGAAACAAGACTCATGTAATAAGAAATATCCCGAGTAAGCAACCCATAGACACAGAAGGGGTAGAGGGCTGTACGGGCTGTGCAGGATAGGTGAGAGCTCAATGGGCGGAGAGCACTCTCTTAGGGTGAAAATGTGTTGGAATTAGATATTGCTAGTGGTTGCCCAAGCCTAGGAATACACAGGATGCTACTCAGTAGTGCATATGAAGATCACTAATTTTCAATTTGGTGAACTTTACTTTATGTATTTAAAGAAGCGTAACAAGAAGACTAATTTAGATTGAATAGCAGGAAAGATGACTCTGAGGAAGTGGCATTCAAGTTCAGACCTAAAGGCCAAATCAGAGTTGACTGGGAAAGGTGGTTGTGATCATACCACTGACAAGAAGGAAGTGTCTCAGAGCTACGACTGCCAGAGCTGTAGGAAGTTACCTTCTACTTACCGACTTAACGCCACACAGCACCCAGACAGGGCTGCTGGAAACCTTGCTCCAGATGGGTTCAATGACCTGGGATAGATGTGTGAAGTTGGCGCCAAGAGCAGACTGTGGCCGCCTGTTGTTGTTCAAACAAGAGACCCTGGAGAGCCCGGGCAGTCTTTATTTATACCGTTTCAATGGTTTGCACAGTTTTACAATCAGTTCTGCTTCCTTGAGTTTCTAAAAATGGTTACAATAATTACCAGTTTATTCCTTGTTTTGCAGAGTTAATGACTCTGGTGATGGGCACCACATTCAGCTCCCACTAGGCTTCAGAGTAGTGTCACTAAGGTTTGATAGGGGCTGCTGGGCATGTAGGTTTCCACTGTGCCAGCAATCTTGGCCCAGAAATGATGTGGCTTCCTTGGGCAAGCTTCTGGATGTTTGGTGTTTAGTTGCATGAAAGGTATTTAATGGTTCTCAGTCAAGACAGGATTTTCACAAAGACTGTGCAACATTTATACTGACATATTGTGTTTGTGAGAGGCTTTAACTTGTTCTAAAAGGAGGAATCAACAAGTCCACACTAATTCTACTCCCCCATTTCAATAAGTTTTATCATCAAGACTTGACTTGCAGAGGACAGAGTCCAGTGGAGAGTGAAGCTAACATAAACAATATTGAGGGATTAGATTCTTTACAGTTGGTGAGGTTTTGCTGTTCTTTTGCTTTGTTTTGTTTCTGATGCAATCTCATACAACCCAGGCTGACCCTGAACTCATTATGTAGATGAGGATGACGCTGACCTTTTGGTCCTCCAGGCTCCTTCCCCATGACTGCTGGGATTAGAGCCATTGCACCAGAATGCCTGGTTTATGCGTGATGGGGATGGAAACCCAGGGACTCAAGTCTAGCTCTACCAACTGAGTTCCATCCCCATGCCCTTGTGTAGAAGGATTTTTTCTTTGGGATGCCAGCTCACAAAAAATGGCATGGAAACTTATTAATTATGAAAGTTTAGCCTATAGCTTAGGCTTGTCCCACTAGCTCTTAGAATTTAAATGAACCATTTCTATTTATTTACGTGTTGCCATGTGATTTGTCGCTTTTACCTCTTCTCCTGCATGTCTTGCTCCCTCTGTGTCTGGCTGGAAACTCCTCCTTTCTTCTTCCCAGAGCTCTGTCCCCAGAAGTCTTGCCTCACCTCTTCCTGCCTAGCTAATGGCCATTCAGCTCTTTATTAAACCAATCACAGTGACACATCTTCACACAGTGTAAAGGAATATTCCACCACACCCTAGACATCACTATCTGATCGAAGCCATCCCTCTTGCTTAGTTTTCTGAGGAAGAAATGGAGCTGGGTTCATGGAAAGATCGGACTGTGAGGTAATGGTAGCCAAGGAGGAGGAGTGCAAGTCTGCTTCCACTTGTTAATCCTTCACAGTCAGCTATTCATCCAGGGACCAGACACCCTGGAGCAATTTCATGACTGCTGACATAAGGCAGAGCAGCATGCTGGATAGCAAACCTCTCTGAGTACCGATTGTGAAACCCGAGGCTGTGGCATCTTGACCCCATTTCTTTCCCTTTTCACTCTATTTTTGAACACACACAAATCAGCACCAGGACAAATATTGGTCATTCAGTAAGGAGGGGGGGAGAGCATCCACGTGCTACAAAGCCTGCTTGAGGAGGATGGTCTTGAGAGGAGAGATGCCATGTTTGAATGGATGATGTTTCTAACAGCTAGCAAAATAAGAGAATTTGAAACAAAGGTGATAAATCTTTTAAGTAACAAATATTTAATATTTCTAGATTCCATTAGACCTTTAAAACATTAAAAGAAGATATCCCTCATACCCTCAAATAAGCACAGCATTGCCTCTAAGCTGTAGAGGCTTCATTTTGGTGAATCTGCTTCTTGCTCATGCATGGAAGTCTGTAAATACAGCCTGCCTGAATACTTAGCATTTCAGATCAGCTACCTCCACAGTTGTCACTGTGACAGGTTCTTATTTATAGAGAGTGGCACACTGCTCAGATGCTGAATGAAGCAACAATATATTTCAGGCAGCCATATTGGCTCAGGTGCTGGTTTACTTAGGCAAGAAAAAGAAATGTGTGTCTTGCTTTATATACCTTCCCAAAGAACATGTGAAGTCACAAAGGCAGCATGCAGTTTGAACTGCAAGCTGACAGGGCAAGTGCTAGAAAAAATAGACTCATTGATGGCCTGTAATTGTGGAAATGAGTGAAGCCAGCTTCAAAAGTAATCCATCCTTTTATGGTGTTCTCAGTCTATTGACATGAACTCTTGGCCAGCATCTCATCATCTACTTAAGGGAGCAAAACTGAAGGCAGAGCAAGGTGAACTTGAAGGAGGCTTCCTCAGTGGCAT